TCTCTCTCCGACTGAGCTGGACGCTGCATCTGGTATCAATGAAGGCTTACGAGAGAGGTAACGGTTATAGAAATATTTTTAACAACGCTTTAAAAGACAATTTGTTAATTTTGCTACCCTTTTCATTAGAAAAAAAAGTTGGATTGAAAAAATCTTGCATTAACTATGATTTAACTTTAGTATTGTGAAGAAACACGCCGAGGAAAAGAAGAGCGTGAAAAACGTGCAGGTGAATATCTCTCTATCTGTGTGTGTGTGTGTGGGTGTGGGTGTGTGAGAAAGAGAGAGAGAGAGAGAGAGAGAGAGACCAAAGCATTATTTATTTTCCTAATTTTCTCACCTTAATTCTTTATTTATATTTCATTTTCTTAAAAAGAAGTCAGAGTATGACAACATACTAAAGGCTTTAAACAGTGGAACAGTAAATAAACGAGATCTGACTGGTTTGTCAACTAAGGTTCCAGAATAGAGTAAGTTAAACTTTAGTTCCAAATACTGGGAGCTTTTTAGTCTATATATATATATATGCAAGCATATTTTAGGGGGAGAAATTTGATTATTTAAGATATTTAACAGATTTTCAATGCTTTCTTCCTATCTCAGAATATCATGACTTCTACACAAAAATTTCTTCTACTTAGACTGTTTTGGCTATTTTTTTAAATGCTTTTATATATTTCAAGCTAAAAGGAGAAGGGAAAAAATCGCCTTTCAGCGGCAACGCCCTAAATGTGTTTGTCTGGCTTTAAATAAAGAAATGCATTTTGTGCAATGTTTTATATTATGATATATGATAAAGGATTTTACATTCATAATACAAGTGGGTGATTAATAATGCTGCTGAATAAAGATGGTCTTTGATATAAATCACTGACTTTTTATCGCCGAGGCAAGCATCCTCTTCAGAAATCTTACTAAAGGTGGCTATCTGTTCAGGTACTCAATTGTCAGTTAGTTGCAATTTTAATTGTTTACAATTGGTTACAATTTTGGAAAACATTCTGGTATGAATCCAAGCTTTGTGCTCAAGTGTCTATTGTCATCGGTGAAATTAAGTGCAGAATTGCACTGCATATACTGTCGCCCAAAGGTACACATTGTTACCCATGGAAAATATATACCCGAACACACCGTTAACGAAGACGAAGATTGATGAAACAAATTCAGTTGTTGGGTGATTGTAACTGCTTTCTCGAGAATATTTCACTCAAAAAATAACGAAATTCCTCTAAATTTTCATTTAGATGCTGCTTGGACCTCCCACTTTCTACTGCTGTATTAGCTTAACACTGGAAAATGTGAGCATTTGAAAAAAAAAATGTACCAAAATGTTAGTCAGAGACAGGTTCAAACTCCCCCTCACCCCTATAGGATTTTCGAGTTTGGTCATTTTATTTCTTGTGTCCAAGTCTCTTTGGATGTCCCCACCCACTTTTAAAATCGTTGGTACGGGCTTGTAAAACATAAAATTTGAGGTTTCATTGTGAGTCCTCAATTGCTACATGTTAAAGATAATGCAAAAGTATACATATTAATAATAATAACTCATTTAAATTCATTTATGTAATGGTATGTAATTTCTAATTGCTCTCTTATTTTTTTTTTTTTTTCATTATTAGTCAATGATGGGGTCAATTACATTAAAAAGTAATTAATGAAATTACAATTACTTTGTCTTTTTCTTCAATTAAATAATAAATAAATTACAGTGCCTGTTAGACATGTAATTAATTAAGTTACTAATGCTTTGCAAAAGTAATTAAATTACAATTTTCTTGTTTGCAAATTTTTATGAAACTTGTTCATGAACACAGAACATGGTATATGTATTTACCCCACCTCTGTTGATTTTTCTATGAAATCCTGGCTTACGATTGGTTGAAATCTGTCACGTGAAGGGGGTGTATTACTTATACCTAGTCGCTTGAGAATCAATACATGGTCGATACGGAGTTGTCGTTCTTTTGTAACGTTCGAACAACTCGAGTTCACGCGATTTGCCGAGTGTCTGTTGACAATGTTACAGTTAACTAATGTAAGTAACGAAGATGGAACCTTTTTCTCCTTTTACTGAAAGTCTTGAAAACTGTCAGTACGTTATTACAGCACGAAACACTCGCAAAACAACATTACGTCACACAACGTGACGTCATAATAGGCATTGTATGAGTGATGAAACATATATATAGTGAGAAAAACAATCTTACAAACCACAGACAATGCATAAATATTTTATCGGTGGGGTAAATTCGTTACATAGTTTTGTAGTGACAGGGTACGGGATGATACCTGGTTAGTAAATTCCATACCTGGCTCGGCTTCGCCTCGCCAGGTATGAAATTTACTAACCAGGTATCATCCCGTACCCTGTCACTTCGCCTCGCCAGGTATGAAATTTACTAACAAGGTATCATCCCGTACCCTGTCACTAAAAAACTATGTAACTAATACTGCTCACCTCTGGGCTAACTATAAATGGTCAATTACTACTTTCTTCCAATTACTTGGAAAAAGATAATTAATTACACTCAATTACAATTACTTTTTTTTTCAATTACTTCATCTCTATTCTTAGTTATGCAATCGAATCTCACAGAAAGATTATCATAGTCTTTCTTTTAAATAGACTTAGGAGTAATAATTTATATTTAAAACACACACACACACACACACATGACAAAAATATATACCTTTGATAATGCTGAAGATTCTTCGAACTGATTCCAACAATGGAGCTAACCTCTGACGAATTGAGTTTGTCGAATATGTTCATCATTAATCATTTTCACTGGTATTTATTCTTAACTTTAAAGGGTCAAAGTCGAAATATGATTTTTCTGACCTTGTATGAAAAACATTTGTTTTGACATTTTAGAAATATTTATATTAACAGGCATTTATATTGTACCCAACTTGTGATATTTGGGACTTTAGTTTAATGACCGTCATGCAGAAAGATATATTTCTAAAATCCTATATTTCATTAAAATCAGATTATAATTGATACATCTGTATGTACAGTACATTATTTAGGGCAAAGATTTTATTTGGTTTGGTTGGAGCGCCCTTACTGTTCTTTTCACAATTAGACAGGAAGTATTTTTAGTAATGTCTTATTACAATTTTATCGATAGTTTGAAATTTCGGTGAGTCGTGATCTGACAAGCTTATGCTGGACGTATGTCGTACATTTCGTATCCATGGCCGCAGGAACTGGGGGCACAGGGGGGCCGCCCCCTCCCCCCCCCCCAATAAATTTGCCGATATATAGATTAATAGATTACTATAGTAAACATAGATAATATATGCTTGTGCTCCCTCAATAAAAACGTCTGTTAACTTTTTTTTTTGGTCAAGGAATTTTTGGGAGTTGACCTTTTTTTTTTTTTTTTTTTTTTTTTTTTTTTTGCTTGCCAGGAAATTTTTGGAAGTGACCCCTCAACTGTCAACTGAAAAATGTATGGCTGTGCCCTCCCAAACTGAAATTGCTTCCTACGGGCCTGGTATCAGATCAAAGAGTTAGCTTTGGAAAAGTCGAAAATTTCACAGCCTTAAATTGTTCCAAGATAGATGGGATAGGATGACGCCATGTCATTGTTTGTCAGAAATATCTAAAAGTCCAAACTTGTGGTGAAATTGTCCTAATTTAATACAAAATATCTATCAAGTTTTATAGGTTGAAAATTACTTTTCTGTATATAGATGCTGAATGCTCTACATCGCTTTTACAGTAAAACACGTTTAAAGAAAAATGCCAGGGACGAATAAGTTTGACTCGTTATAAACGTAAAGTAATTCGATATATCCCTCAAGTTTACAATATAATCTAGAACCATTGAGAATGAAAATCGCTTTGTTGTAAGCGTGAATTCATTATAAGCAAGTTCCCTATATCCGTTTTTTACTGTATTTTTCTTTGAAATTTCAGAGACCAGCTCATTGAAATCTAAAATTTTCACCCTGGTAAGAAGCATCTTAATATAATGTACACATGAAGTTAATTTGCTCAAACTGTGCCCCTCTCTCCACCACCACCACCACTTGGCTGTTTCCATAAATGGACAGATTAGGAAAGATAACTTACATGTACTGAAATCAGGAATAATGTCTTAAACATGAAAATACAGGATGAAAAGTTTACAAAACATGGAAATTTTCGCCCCCTTCGCCCTTATCACAGGTGGGCAAATTTAAAATGGGGCGAATTCAAAGAACACAGCAGAACTAAGACTGGGCGAATCTAAAACGGGGCAAAATTGTTTGCAAGTCCGAAAGTTCGAAAATAGCACGGGGCAAAAATAACACTGTATACAGTATATGTTATTTTAGTTCATAATTTGTCAAACAATGTGCAAATTTAACAAATATGTACATAAATAGAGAGTATGGGTTGGAAAATTTATGGTTTCTTCTGCTGTTTAATGTTTTGGAATTTCATGATGGTCACATGTGCCTTCATGGATTTTTGTCCTTTATTGTAAAAATAAATAACTTATAATAATGAACACGTCTACAACTGTAAAATTCCTCCACATACAAGGAAAACCATTGTCAAGGTCATAATGTTAGAGATTAAATTATACTTGAACCTTCATATCTTTTAATATGCTCAGAGTTTATAATTCATAATTATCCTACTTATTTTCAAAGCAGCCTTTCATAAATTCTAATGCGTTATAAAATAACCTAATTTAAAAAAGTTCTAACTTTTTAAACTGTTGATCCCATTAATTAATGCAATGACATAAAATTCATGGTGCTTCAAGTTTTACTACATGTAACCTCAAATGCAAATCATATCTTTAAAATGAATATTCTTGTCAATGTATTGATCAAACTTTCCTTTTTCTATCATGCTTTTAGTCAGTTGGAGTTTATTAATTCTTTTTAATGAATTCCTTACAAAAATAATAGCTGAGTAAAACCTTTAATTCTCCCTTAAAAGAAAACATCTAAAGCATGATTACATGTATGGTTTTCAAAACTTTTTATCTGCGTCAAATAAAAAATTAAAAACTTTTATATAAAATATGATGATTTCTCTTCTCTTTCATTCATAATCAGAATATCACTGTCTTGGATGACTTAATTGCTAGCACAAGCTCAACATACATGTAAAGTTTGAAATTTAGTGAACTTTGTGAATGTCATCTGTGATTGTCAGCAACACACGTTTTTCAGACTTGCACAAAGCTTTTGGCTTGATATCAAATACATAACTTCTTGTAATACATATTATGCATCTGTTTCTGAACCACTCCTCTTCTTGGTGCTTGTCACTGTTTCAAGTTCATCTGCAAGTTACAAAAATATCATCTCTTCCTAGTTATTTAGATTGATCATTTTTAAAGCATTGTGAGAGTACTGCATAAGCAATAGTGAGTATCCTACCAGTATGGGCATAATTTCTTTAAGAAATCATCTAACCAGACTGAAATGCATACTAAAGGTGTTATTTTCTTGGTATGACGAGAACCTCAAATCCTCTACAAAATGTTAAATTTCAAAGTACACTATCATCATCATCATGTTCATGTCTTCAACCACCAAATCAGTAGGGCTTGGACAATACATTTTTTTCTATATCGATACGTATCCCGATATTTGAGCCACGATACAATATGTATCATGATATGTTTATTTTGTTATAAATCTTCTTTTTGTATTGAAATGAACAAAATATTTCTTAACAAATCAGAATAATTTATTCAAAGAAGTTGTATATCTTGTAAAACAAAATTATTTTACACAAGTGGTGTTAATTATTGTGTATTTCATATTTATATTTATATTTAGCATATTTATTTTATAAATTAAACTCAAAATGTTAAGTAAACAAAGAAAAACATAAGTCAGAAATTTTTTTGCGATATTTCGATATTTCCTCATACGTATCGATATCCGTATCATTATCACACAGAATCGATATTATCGATATCTCGACATATTGTCCCAGCCCTACAAATCAGATCACCACAAATCAAAATTTTTCCATTAAAGCACAAAAATTATACTAGTATTCCACTAAAAAGTTACATGTATTTTACAGTCCCAAAAATTGGCTCAATTTATGCATGTGTCTACAAAAATGTATGGAAAACAAAGGAGGACAAACTGTCCAACAGACAGAGGGACAGACTAATGAACATGAAACCTTTAATCCCTTCCCACTTCACTGTTAGTGATTACTGATAACTCTTTTGTTAAAGAAAGTAGGAAAAGTACATCAGATTATCAAAACATGGGACATTTAAAATAGTCGAACAGTCTTCTCTGACACTGATTTTAGCCGAAACTGTTCATTATTTGATATCCTTTTTAGATTATTGCCGAGATCAAAGAAATGCCATGGACATTATTCTCCAATAAATCACGAACGTCATCAAAAAATTATCAGATCAGAAACACATGTCAAATCTGTACAGTTGAAATAAATATTTCACTGCATAATCTAATACTTATTTAGACCACATCGATGTGACGTCTTCCATAGTCTAAACGTGTGTATTGCCTGAAACAGCTGATAAATATCGTTTTTATAGCCAAGTAGGGCTGTTCTACGGACCTCCCCACAACATTTACACTCCCGTGATTTTACTGATAAATCAATGAAATAGACAACTGGTTTAGTTATTTTTTATTCATAAAAATTAATCAATATATGTTACAAGCAAATTTATAAATAATTAAAGGATATTTTTAATCCAACAAAAGCTGAAATCGTCTGCATTTTATGCAATCGATTGACCCTCTGGTGTTAAATGGAACAGCGAAATTGCGACATGGTGACCTAATTCGTTTCTCTATAGAGAAAACGATCAACTGTATTTTAGAGCCGTTAGTAGAATAGAAATAAAGTCCTTGTTGTCGTGAATGATGCAGGATAACCTCCTCGGTCTCGAAATGTTGTCTAAAATACAAAAGCCTTGGCTAACACCTCGGCTTTTATATTTCAGACAACATTTCTCGACCTCGGAGGTTATCCTGCAACATTCACGATAACGCGGACTTTATAAATTTCTTAAATTAAACGTAAAGAAGTCATTATTTTGAAACTTACCAGTTAGATCTTGTGCTGCTCATTGAACCAAATGCACAGTTCTCTCCAACTCTTTCATAGAATTCTTCCCTCTAGTTATGTTCATTTTAATGGCTTCCTGTAAAAAGATGTATCAGATTGTACCTTTTTCTTTTATAACTACATGTATGCAGCCAATGTGAATAATAATATACTAAGAGCACATAAAAATGAAAAAAATTTAGAATTCTTCTTCAAAACAAATTGCACCTTTTGAAATTTCTTTTAGTCACTGTAAAGCACAAAACTATAAATGAGCACTATGCAGATTAATGGCCATGACTTGAACATGTTGAATTTTTAAAAATGAATTTACCTGATATGCTATATTTGTATCTTGTTGACAATTAATAGCTCCTGAGAATATAAGTTTTTCGAAAGTTCATACATATTTCATATAAAATGGTGAACATATAGCTTTTTCAATGTATGCACTGTGTCTTTGCTTACATATATATTCAATTGCCTACTTGTCACCTTGCTGTGCGATAGATTAAAACAAAAATTCTGAAAATTCCAATGTTAAAATTAATCAAATTGTGGTTCAAAGCCTTATTCTCGCCATAAGGGCTAACACTGTAAACGTGGATACTTTTACTGGGTAAAATTTTGTGATTTCCATGGAATAAAGGGTTTGTGTGGGAGTTACTTTGGAGGAAGTGAAGGAATTTACAAAATGTGTTTAATTTCTTTGTTGTTTAGTATGGTACCTTATATGAAACCGTTTGCATGGTTATAAATTTTGCGAAACTTCACAAAATGCAAAGAGATTGTGTGAAATTTATATTTAGATCAAGTGAACTTAAACATGTTAAAAGACTCATGGATGAAGTAAAGTATATCATTGATGATTAAATGATGATAAACTGCTACATTTTTCAACACTATTAGAATAAAAATATTCATTCATTCATTCATTTACCTCATCTTGTATATTCTTGTTGAGTTCAAAATCTTGTCGGATAAATTTTTGCAGTTGCTGCCTTTGATTTTGGTCAGGAATTTTTCTGACAAGTCTAAGCATCTGTTTGTACATCTTTAGCACCTCTGACCGTAAGATAAACTGTAAGATTAAACATAAATAAAGATTATTTGAGCGCAAAGTTGGGGAACAGAGAAAGTTCATAACAATTTCTATATTAAGTTTTTCATTGCAACCAAAATATACATCATTAGAAAAGAACCTCCAAATGAACTTTTTGTTTGAATAGATATGGACATGTTCTAAAAAATATTATTGTGCTGAGTTGTCACTGTCACTTGCCAATGATATAAGACAGACATGTAAGGCCTAAATGATGTCTTCTGTAAACTTACAAACTTATAGAGGAAATTCAGACTGAGGTTGATAACACGCAATGTACTCTAATGTTATCTGTCTCTCCAAAAAAGCGTGCACAGCCCTGAGGTAATTAACCTCCTAAACAGTAAACATGTGTTTGTTTGTTGAGTACGCACCCGTTCTAAAGACATCACATTCCTCGGCAACCGGCGTGACATTGTTCATTTGTTGACAGTAATTTAGCGGCAAGCGGTAAATCTAGTCTTCCCGACTCCCGACGCCCGACTCCCGATGGTCCCGGATTTTGGTTTTTTGGCGATTTCTTTTTTATCGGTGCACAGAAATTCTTCAAACTTTTCAGGCACATTTTCTAAGTTTAAATGAATTCATTAATACATAGAAACCGTAACAAATTTACGCATTTTATACTGAATCAGCAGTATCACCTGCCAAAAAGCGGTAAATCTAGTCCTCTGTTATAAATGCGAAAACCAAAGACGGACATCGATACTTAACGGAGACGCGAGGTTTCGTAGATATTAAAGATAATCAAAAAATATTGATGGTTTGAACATATTTTATTGTATAAATAATATACAAATTGTTTGAACACAAGTTCTAACAACTTACGAGTTTCTCACCATAAATGACTACAACTGTCAAGGTCTATATATAGAAAAAAAAATATTGATATACAAACATGTTTGTTTTAAATCCAAGCTATAATAACTTTGTTGTGCCAGGAAATACTGCTAGATGATTCATAAATCGTATGCATGTTATATATATATATATATATATATATATATATATATATATATATATATATATATATATATATATATATATATATATATATATATATATATAGATATATATATATATATATATATATATATATATATATAAATCTATTGCATTTCGTTAAGGTAAACATTTAATTAAAAAAGCAAACGTAATTCCAAAGATGTGGCTAAAATGAAATATAAAATAAAATATTTTAATTAGATTGAAAATTATAGAATACATGTATTACATAAAAAATGTTCTAGATAGAAAATTCCCTCCGATACAAAGCTTTTGAATTTAGAAAGAAACGATTGTATAATTAACTATAATTAAAAAAAAAAAAAGGAAAAACTTAAAATAAATAAATAAATAAAAAGTTAATTCATGGAGTATTTGAAAGAAAAAGAAGAAGAAAAAATTAAAATAAAAAAAGGAGGGGGGACTCTGATGTAGAACCACGTCCACGTCGTAGAGCCTGGGAACACAAACATGTTGTGACAAAGAGTTCAACAAGAAGAAAAAACCGGAAAGTGTGTGTGTGTGTGTGGGGGGGGGGGGGGGTTGTGCATGCAAATTAACTGGCATGTAAATGAGCTTTTCCTCATATTTCTTTAAAAATCTATACTTCAATTTGTTGTATTTAATCGCGATTCTACGAAAACATCGATGTCCGTCTTTGGTTTTCGCATTTATAACAGAGGACTAGATTTACCGCTTTTTGGCAGGTGATACTGCTGATCCAGTATTAAATACGTAAATTTATATAGGTTTTTATGTATTAATGAATTTATTTAAACTCAGAAAAGGTGCTTGAAAAGTTTGAAGAATTTCTGTGCATCGATAAAAAAGAAATCGCCAAAAAACCAAAATCCGGGACCATCGGGAGTCGGGCGTCGGGAGTCGGGAAGACTAGATTTACCACTTGCCTAATTTAGCATGTATATAATTTAGAGTTATCTCTCTTTATGTAACCAGTGTAAGTAATTAAATGTTTCAGTTTCAATGTTTTATTTTATAATTATTTCTGTTGTGTGTGTTTACATTTGTGTTGTCATGTGTGAATGTCCACGTGTGAGTATTTATGTTTACTAGTGTGACGTACTTGACCATTTCCGGTTTGACCAGTTCTATTTCTATTAATAACTTTTTACTAACTTTCCCGCGACTAAATGTTTTCCATGCACACTCGGCGCTACACCCTTTACGGGGATAGACGTTATATTGTATTAGAGCTGATTAACAAGTGGTGCTTGGTAAATATATTTATTTTATATACATATTTCTTATTATCTTTGTAATTAAAAGTAAAGTCATCAAGTATTTGTAAATGTTTATTAATTATTATGACTTTATTTCAGGTTTTTCTTATATATATTACAATAATTAAAATCTTGGTCAAACCTTACTACTGACTTATGTCTTACTGAAGAACCTGGAATCTACCGACATGGTTTACATTTATGCTATTTTTTCCTGTTCGACTCCAACCCAAAAATTTTTGCTGTACAAAATGAGTGATAAACTAGCTGAAAAATAACTTGTACCCTCTTTTTTTTTTTTTTTTTTTTTTTTTTTTTTTTTTTTTGTTTGAATATATCTTATTGAATACATCAAAAGGATTGGAAACAAGTTTTTATAGCCTAATACTTGTTTGTAGTCAATAAAATATATTTATTATAATTAACACTTACTTAGTTCCAAACTAGGCCTAGTTCCTCTCCTAATATATTTTAATACATGCATGTCGCCATGGTCACGGAAATTCCAAAAAAATAATACATCTTCATGTTTTCTACATGCAATGGCGTACCTACATGAACCATGTTTGCTTGTAGCCTATATTATTTTGAAAAATATAATAAAATAAATAAATAATTATTAAAAAATGAAAATGATGAAAGTAATAAACGTACAGTATTATATAAAACTGAACTTATATCTTAAAAATATGTTATGTTTATGTATTACATAAAGAATTTACAAATTTGCAGTGCACAATAAGTTACATTGTACCTCCTTCCTAATCACACTAATAATATTCAGTGTTGTTCTGATTTATCATGTTTATTTAATAACATCTCTTAAATTAATTCTTAAATGTACAATTTTGTGTCATTAAACAGTTTTATTTTTTCCTGGAAAAATACAAATAGAAGTGCAAAAATTGGTGTTTTTTTAAGTCAAGTATTATGGTTGAATGAATATTTAAAGACGCTTTAAAAAAAAATCGTACCCCCCCCCCCCGCCCTTATAAAAAAAAAATAATTAGTAAGAATATACCAGGGCATTTCTATATTTTAATTGTTACCTTTCGGTGTTCCATGAAGTTTTTTTTTTCAATTTTTATTACCTTACTTAACTTTTGGAAACTTTTGCAAAAAACATTGCCAAAACTTGTCATACGGGCCATACATTTAAAATTTAAGAATGCTTCTAAACTACGATAGCCCCTATTTTAAAGTTTAAAAAAAATAATAAAAATTTAATAATACTTTTATTCGTGCCACCTTGTATGCCTAATTCTAATGACACGTCTAGATTTTGTGTCTATTTGAACGTCGTGTATACTGTAATTGGGGAATATTTCCTTTATTTTGGGGGACAACTCGCTTTGACTGTGGTCGAACTCCTTGGTGTCAGATCTCCTGACGTAGATTCTAGATCTATCTGTCGTGGCTGTACAGTGTATATAATTCCAAAGGAAAAGAAGATTATAAAAATTTACAACTTTATTAATATTCAACAAGGCGTCGCATGGAAGTGATATTTACAAACAACAGTCACCAGTTACAAATAAAATTAAAAATAATTGAATTTTATAAAGATATATACCTATTAATCTAAAACCTGGTGAATGTATAAAGAAGGGTGAACAATATGTGTAACAAAATACCCTCTAAAGTTCATTCAAAATAATTTTAACAATCGAGGAAACTCAAACTTACTGTATTTCGTCGATTAAACGTTAACGATAGTGGATTTTGATTTTTACCGCTTTTTTTTTATGGTTTCTTTGACCTTTATTTCTAGTAATTTCATTGCTTTGCGGCATCAGGGACGAAGGAATTTCTAAATAATTCTGATTCTGCATCTTGGAATGATATGATCCTGTTTATTACGGTTATATTATATGGATACATTTACTTTCTTATTGGGGACAATACTGTGCAGTTATGCAAATATTCAGATGTGAATTTTGAACATACTTAGACAAGCAGGTAGTATCGGGTGGGGGGGGGGGGTGCCCCCTCCTTTTGTTTCAAACATAATCTTTTACTTTGAAAATGTTCGTTGAAAGGCTGATTCCCCCTTTTTGTTGCAGTATAGTCAAATTAGGGTAATGTGGTAATGCATGCATTTGGTTATGAAAGAAGATAGAATCTAACACTCCCCCCCTCCCCCCCCCCCCCACGAAATAGTTTTTTTTTTTTCAATCTTATACGTCAATTATTTTTTTTTAATTTAATTTAATTTAATTTAATTTTATTTATTTATTTATTTATTTATTTACTTTTTTTTTTTTGCTTGTCGGCAGTAAGTTGTACTTTTCAAGCTCTTTTTTTCTTGATGAAAAGGAGGGTCTCTTTTGGATCTTTTCTTCTTTTTTTTTTCTAAAAATAGTCTTGCTGTAGTTTTAATATGTAAATATTGATTTGGATATGCTGCTTGTCCCCCTCCCCCATTTGTTGTTGTTGTACGGTGAAACATACGCAAATTCCAGCATTTGGAAGAAACACCCCTCCCCACCCCAAAGAAAACAAACACACACTCACACACTTTGCAAACCTTATCCGCCCTTGTTTCTCCTTTTTTACTTCTACTCAACCTCACCGTCACGGTAGCTCAGTCGGTAGCCCAGGTCGTGCGTTCGAATCACGGCCGCGACTAACCTAAGTCGATAAAAAAAAAAGGTAGCAGCTGTTCCTTCGCCAAGAGCTCGGCACTTTGAAGTGAAAGTTGCGAGTCCTTCGGATGAGACCTTAAAAACCGAGGCCCTGTGTCACGGTAGGCGTTGGCGCGATAAAGAACGCAGCTAGGTTAAGGACTCCCATATATACGTCAGCCTATGCAGAGGTTCGGGAAAGCTATTATGACGTCACGTTAAATCAATACAAATGAATGCTGTATGTTCTTTTTAAACCCACTAAATACTTTCGTTTCTTATAAACATTATAAAGATAAATGGGTGTGCAACTTATCTTGCCATAATAGCGCTTAGCGTAAGTAGAATGAAAACCAGTTTGATCTCGTTGTACTTACTAAGATGACGTCATTTCTTAGTTTGACACGCAGTTTCTCTGTACTTGAGGCGTGGATCAAGCTTTTATCGTAGCTTGTAAAAATAAAAATAGATACGAAAAACGCGTAGTCGGACCAAAAGAGAGACATATCCTGAAATATATTAATCCACATTTTACTGTCAAACTAAATTGATAATGTGTAGACTTTA